ATCGTCATCAGAAGTGTTGGGGTTGGCTGCTAGGATGTTGCGTGCTTAGCCTATACAAATGGCTTGTTGAAGGGAAGTTTCACACTCCTTTCAGTATCTATGGAACCTACAAGTTTGATCTTTTCAACAGTGTTTATCAGTATCATTTCCCAGCTAAAGTTGGAAAGCCATGACTTATCAGAGGTGAAGTGAGCTTCAAAGTTTCAAAATGGCAAACCTCTTGCAATTTACAGCTGGTTCTTTAGTTGTGTCAAACCACATTTCATCACAGAGTGCAGAAATGTTGGTTGATACTTAATGCCTTAAATAATCTGAAATTATTATCCAAAGTAGGGTAACATGAAAGGTTATTAAAGCAGAAAGTATGTTCAGTGGAGCCTAGTTCTGGCAGCTGATCTTGGTCGTTCCTTGTCTGTCCACATATTAAATGTCAACCATGAAAGGTAATGGTGTTTTCCTCTCGTGTTAAAAGACAGCCCCAAAAATGTCCCTGATCATTTGCCTACAAGTGTAGGTGTTACTTCTCTAAGAATGTCTATTATCTTAGCATCTAATCAGTATCAGTGGGTTAAAAAATATGCATTTACAGTATCTTCAATCTCTAGAATTTGGTAGTAGTTAAAGTAACAAACATTCTGTTAAGAGTCTGAGGAAGACATTGTACATAAAAGACATTCACTACGTGGAGAGTAATTTAGGGGGGAGGGTTGATTGCAGCTTCCAGACTTTGTGCTTTCTTTGCTGAATATTAGTCTATTTTTGTAAGTTATTTGGGTCATTTAATCAATTTGATGTGCAGTTTACAGGTGAATACATTTTAAAAAATTAAATCCCTTTTTTAATGGGGGGAGTAGACAAACAAGTGGGTAGTGAAGAGGCTGAATAACAGTTGGTGCACTCTACAAAAAATAAATCACTAGCTTTGGAAGAACATGTTTTTCACAAGTAATACATAAGGCAACTTTTTTTTTGTAATGATTTCCCACATGTTTTTGGGTGTGAGGGAGAAAGATTGTTCCTCTTGTTTTATTTCATGCTTCTCTGTTTTTTTAACATGGCTTTCTTTTCATTCTGTGGTACATCCTTTTTCATATGTGCAGATCTCTTTCTTTTGTTTGCAAGGGTTTACACAGCCACAAAGCTCTGGGTAAAGGGCAGGGAACAGGATTCAGTATAAAGAAATTGAACTTGCAAGCTCAGAAAAATCAGCAGCTATTTAACATTGCTTGTGAATACCCTGCCTGTTAAGATCACAATTTCACTGTCTTTTCCAAAGTCATGAGTACATCTGAAGAATTTGTGATAGTCCATTATATCCCTTCTGTAGGTACTACTGTTTGGAGAGCTACAAAGGCTGCAACGAGCCTTTGCTCGTGAGGCTTACATTTATATGCTGTCTCTAAGTTATGGGTGTTTTGGGGAAACTGTGTCAAACTGCCAGTTAATCTGTTAGTTTCAAAACTTGCCCATAGAGATCTTTTGTTTACCTTTTTAATGTCTGCATGTGTTACACAGTCATATGATCCCAGGGTCTGTATAGGTTTGTTCAAATGTGAGAGGTAGATGATGTCTTAGTAACATAGTGCCATACCACTCACCACTCACATAGTGAATACTGGCCTTGGATTGAATAAAAGGGGAATCCAATTTGAATAATTGAAGGAGGACTCCCTGTTTGTAGTGAAAAAAAGGACTATGACTTGGGCAGCAATTGTTTGCTTACAAGTAGAGGGAAGCTGTAGAAGGAGAGGATTTGAGACTGCAAGAGAAGCATGGGCCATGTGTAAGGGAAAAGAATCCCCACCCATGGCTCAGAGCCAAGGCGCTACCTGGGAGACTGCCTGACAGCGTTTGCAGCTGCAGGAAATGAGTTACAGCCCAGGCCAGAGGGGAAAGTAACTCCTAACTATGAGCTGGTAGGGTGCATGCTTTGCCGTCTTGCCTTGGGGCCACATGGCAAAACGTGGGGATTGTAGTTTGCAGGGCACTGTACCAAAAGGGATCTGCTGCTGCTATACAGCTGGATGCCATTGCATGCAGAAAGTGGTAGAGAGAAATATGTTGTAGTTGTACAAGACACTAAACATTAATGTAAAAGTTCTGTTTCTTGATGAATCAATTACCTCCTCAT